TTTGACATTTCAGAGAAATCCGTTGAGGCAGATTGTATTGCCCTTGTCAAGACGAGATGGGAGAAAAGAGGTAATCAACACTTAAATTTGTTTTTTAGCGTGTGTTGCCTTATATGTTAACTCTCGGTTTGTTGTTTTCTGTGGTGAAGCAAGTGTTTCCTGTGATCGATTGAAGCGTTGTTGCTGCTATTCACGGGGCTCTCGCCTCCGGGAAAGGTGATTGGCTAGGATCGTTTAGCCGCCAGATAATTGAGAGAGCGCTCTCTGCTATGATCATTCCGGGGAAGATTCTCGGACGGGGCGAGAAGAGGTCATCGACTCGTCGGAGAGCTTTGCTTGGAGTAGCAGGGGCAGCGAAGGCGTCGGGCACCAGTGAGCTGAGGACTGTGACACTGACGACCGCAGGTTCGACGACGACATCATCGCGGGCAAAAGTTCCCACGAATGCAGAGCCGATGACTCTCGCTGCTTCACTCCCGCGTCCTTACTCTTCTTCCCTAACCCCTGACGAGGTTGCGAAGCGGCGTGATCAGTCACAGAAGAGGGCTTTCCTTTCTGGCGGCCAAGGAAATGGTATTCCTGACGGAACCGTCTTGAAGAGACAGAGGATGGACGCTTCCCCCGTAACTGTTGCTAAGAAGGTAGCGCCGGCGAGTCAAGATGCAATCGCTTCGGTTATTTTCCCCTCCAGGTCTTCGGGTACGGGTGCTATTTTCCCACCGGTCGGCGGGTTGATTCGCGGGAAGGCTTATGCATTGACGAAAACCAAGGCTTCGGAGGTTTTATTCCCTTCTCACTTAGTATTTTCCTTGTGACTTAGCTTCTCTTGTTTTGGTATTACATCTCCTTCCTTTTTTTGTATGCAGCTTTTTGTTCATCTGGACCAACTGGTTGGCGACTACGATGAGGATGTTCGCACCAGAGATAGTGAGCTTAGCGAGGCCAGAGAGGTCAACATCGCCTTGCAGTCGAGGCTAGATGAGCTCATTGAGAGGAACAAGGTTCTTGAGAGCAATGCTCTTTCTGTGCAAAGGGAAAAGAAGGAGTGGGATGCTAAGTTGATGAAGATTGAGTCAAGGCGCGCCAAGGACAAGGAAGAGATAGCTCTGTTGAGAAGTCAGCTGAGCTCTGCTAACGATTGCCAGGATGCTAGAGTTGGTGAGGCCGTTACTAGGACAAGAGATGAGATGTCTCGCAACTTTACGGGGCGAGTCAGCGAGGTTGCTAGGTTAATGAATGCGGCTTTCGTTTCTTGCACTGTAGCGAGTGCAGGATGATAATGAATGCGGCTTTCGTATCTTGCTTTTTTCATGAGCTTAACTCGTCTTGTTCTTTGACAGATCATAAGAACTTTAAGAGTAATGATACTCGCTTTGTTGGCTAAGTCTCACAATGACTTCGTAAGTTGGTGGTTGTTTACACTCGAGATATCTTTTTGCATCCTAGAGTGCTCCATGCCGCTGTTGCAGGGTAGCAAAATCACGAATGCGTTTACGCTCTGTTTCTACCAACGTTGCTGTTGGGTTTGTGGAATGGTGCTGCTTTCTGAACACGTCTGTCCGAGAGCGAACACACCTCTTGTTCAGAATGATTATTCGGTCTACAAACTGAATAACCATTGGTAGCTGCTTTGTACCAATGGTGCTGTTGGG